CGAGCTTCGCTCTTTCTTGAGGTCGGAGCGCAGGCAAGGTCAACATCATCCGGAAAGTCGAGGTCTCAGGGCTTCGGATTCGCAGGTCACCTTGGGCTGCGTATTGAAGGGAAGGTCATCAAGCAAAGCACTGAATCAGGAATTGCGGCAGTCACTCCCGGATGTTTTGGGCAATGACGTGTACTCCGAGGCCATGTATGTCGACACCAAGCTCAACCCGGCTGACGACCCCACGCGGGGAGCTGTAATCAGGGGTCCTAGCATTGCTAAGCCCGCTTGGTGGGACAGTGCATCCCAAGGGAACTTCGATGATTTCGATAAGTGGCGCGACGAGGTTGGCCAAACCTTTTCAGAACAATGGGGGGTGCCGAGTCCTTGTGAGCTCTTGGGGCCTCTATCTGAACGCACAGACGGGCCGACTGAGGGGAGAGGTTCTTATCCGTATCCGTGTGCCAGTGCGGCGGGAGTTCATCAAGTACATCAAGACCGGGTCGATACTGCTAGAGACTTTGTGGCGGGATTTCCGTGTAACAATCTTTCTGAAGACAGTGCAGCTGGCCCGGATTATCAGAGTTGCTTTAGCTTGGAAGCCACTGAGTGTCTGCAGAGCTTCCAGAGCAGTCACTTTGTGTGGCCCCGTGGCACCGGATCCGGAAAGGAAAGTAGGACTTGGGACTTCCGTAAACCTGGGTATCTGGACCTTTTCAGTGGTAACAAAGGGGTCGCAAAAGTCGTTTCCAAGACTGCTCATTCGTGGTCGCTTTGCATTGACATAGCAGACGATCCGAAGTTGGACCTCCTCGATGCGGAGCTTCGGGTGAAAATCGAGTTCTTGATATCCGAAGGAGTCTTCTTCGGCGTAGGTGCGGCTCCAGCTTGCGGCTCATTTTCAATAGCAGTCACGCCGGGAGTTCGGGACGCGGTCTCCCCTCAAGGAAAGCCCGACATCAGTGAGTCCATGCAGGTCAAGGTTAGGAACGGTAATTCGATTTCACGGTGGTTGGCGCAGATCGTCGTCCTTTGCTTGGAGCGCGACGTCATCTTTTGGGTTGAGAATCCTCTGAGGAGCTGGATATGGCGCCAACCCGAATGGCAAGAGCTGCTCCAGGATGATCGTGTTGGGTGCTGGACGGGAACCCTTTGTGCTTTTCAAGCTGCTTGGGTGAGGCCCACGAAAATCATCACGAATTCCTCATTGAGATTCCGCACTGCGCCCTGCCCAGGATGCCGCAAGCACATTCCTTTAAGGGGGTACTCTCTCAAGCATAGAATGCCGTGGACTCGAGTTGCCGAGCACTATCCATACCGATTCAGTCGCTACATTGGGGAGTGCATTGGCAACCAAGCTAAAAACTCGGCGGGCTCATCCGGAAAGTTTTCTGTCAGTGATTGCGCCAAGGTGACGAACACTAGGACTGGTGAAGCTTCAATGCCAGGACCGCGTGCTAAAGCCAGGGCCCCTCGTCCTCCTCGTGATTTCCCTCTTGATTCGGTTCAACTTGTGAGTGGGCAAACTTTGCGACTCCAAAGCAGAGTTTGGGCCCGCTTCGAGGAATGGCTGGAGGCCGGTACCAGTACGTCTGCTGCGGCTTCGCTCCTTCTTGACCCCCTTGTGATCGCAACTCTGATTGCCGAATTTGGTAAACACCTGTTCTCCTGCGGTGAATCCCTCTACCTTTGCCGGCACCTTATTCTGGGGATGATCCACCGTTATCCTCTCACTCGGCAACATGCCCACTCGTGCTGGACTTTAGTTTCGAAGTGGGAGCTCGTCGAGCCTCTCAGGCACCGGAGCCCCCTCCCAGAAGTGATACTCCGTGCGATGGTTAGCGTAGCTATCCTTTGGTCGTGGACTAGAACAGCTGGGATTCTGCTTCTGGCTTTCTGGGGCATCGCTCGTCCTGGAGAGCCTTTGAGATCTCTGCAGGCGGATCTTCTCTTACCCTCCGATTTACTTTTAACGGAGCGGTTGGTTTGTTACCTGAAGGTCCGGGCTCCAAAAACCGGGCGCAGAACTCGTGCCAAGGTGCAACACGTCTCGGTCCACAACGGCGAGGTAAAGCCCTTCCTTGAAAAATCCTTGGAGGGCTCCGAACCTCTCTTTGCTGGCTCAGCAGCTTCCTTTCGGCGTCGATGGGATGCACTGCTCGACGCGTTGTTGGTGCCCAAAAGCTTGCAACTAACTCCAGGTGGCTTGCGAGGTGGTGGTGCTATTGCGGCCTACCATCGCAACGTTGACATTGGGACCATCCAGTGGAGGATGCGGATACGGCACCAAGTCACCCTGGAGGCTTACATCCAGGAGGTCGCTGCAGAGAATTTGCTCCTCCAGCTACCTCCCGAATCGGTTGCCCGCGTTAAATCTGCAGCCGACCTGTACAGAGACCTGTTGCTCTTGTAGCGTTGTGAGTTTCCTCGGGATTTTGTGGCACTTTCCACAACAGGCATGGGCTACAAACGCTCGTGACTTCTTGAAGTCCTTGAGGTCTGTTCTTATGGGTGGAAGGGTTGCATCCTTTGCAGTGTGCTCCACTTCTCTTCGGCGGCAGTTCGTTCCGGAAACCCTTTGAACGAATCTGCTGAGAGCCGTTACTCGGAGCTTCAGCTTCGGATTGCACTTCTTACACAAGACTGCTCTGCTGTCGAACGCAAAAACAGAAGTTGTTTTTGCCTTCTCGCGTACAGTGAGGGATCAACATGTCAAACATGTTTATCCTGAGCGCCTGACGCGCAGCTTTTTCTCTCCCGCCCGCCCGCCCATTGCGGAAGGGTTGCATCCTTTGCAGTGTGCTCCACTTCTCTTCGGCGGCAGTTCGTTCCGGAAACCCTTTGAACGAATCTGCTGAGAGCCGTTACTCGGAGCTTCAGCTTCGGATTGCACTTCTTACACAAGACTGCTCTGCTGTCGAACGCAAAAACAGAAGTTGTTTTTGCCTTCTCGCGTACAGTGAGGGATCAACATGTTACATATATAAAGAATGTGCACAGGTGAATCAACAGGTGTGCCAAGCCATATACATATCATACATACATACATACCTACGTACATACGTACATACGTACATACATACATACACACACACATATACACGCATACACACACATACATACATACATACATACATACATGCATGCATACATGCATATACACATACATACATACATACGCACATACATGCACACACACACACACAGACACAGACACAGACACAGACACAGACACAGACACAGACACAGACACAGACACAGACACAGACGCAGACACAGACACAGACACACACACACACACAAGACACAGACACAGACACAGACACAGACACAGACACAGACACAGACACAGACACAGACACAGACACAGACACAGACACAGACACAGACACAGACACAGACACAGACAGATAAGGAGACGGAGATAGAGACGGAGACGGAGACACAGACAGAGACAGAGACACAGACACAGACACAAGACACAAGACGCAGACACAAGACACAAGACACAGACACAAGACACAGACACTGACACAGACACAGACACAGAGGCACACATACACAGAGACACAGGGACACAGAGACACAGAGACGCAGACACACACAGACACAGAGACACAGACACACACACACACACACGCACAGAGACACGCACAGAGACACACACACACAGAGACACACAGTCACACAGACACACAGACACAGACACAGACACACACACAGACACACGCACAGAGACACGCACAGAGACACACACAGAGACGCACAGACACACAGACACACACAGAGACACACAGACACACAGACACACAGACACACAGACACACAGACACACAGACACACAAACACACACACACACACAGACACACAGACACACAGACACACAGACACACAGACACACACAGACACACAGACACACAGACACACAGACACACAGACACACAGACACACACACACACACAAACACACAGACACACAGACACACAGACACACAGACACACAGACACACACACACACACACACACACACACACACACACAGACACAGACACACACACACACACAGACACAGACACACGCACAGAGACACGCACAGAGACACACACACACACAGAGACACACAGTCACACAGACACACAGACACAGACACAGACACAGACACACACAGGCACACGCACACAGACACACACACACACAGACACACGCACAGCGACACGCACAGAGACACAGAGACACACAGAGACACACAGACACACACACAGACACAGACACACGCACACACACACACACACATGCATACATGCATACATGCATACATGCATACATGCATACATGCATGCATGCATGGGTCTGGGGTTGGGAAAGAAGCTGCGAGATGTATGTCCACGGTTGCATGTATGCATCTATCTAAACCTATCTATCTGTGATGTATCCATCCGTCTTCAGATATCTATCACCCGGAAAAGTCTTGGGCAGCATCTTCACTCCAGGTCGCCCGTAGTGAGCACTTGTGAATGGGCATGAGTACATGAAGGAGGTAGCATGCAAAGGTAACATTCCTATATGGCCCTAGATGCATGGTTCGTTCTAAGCATATGCGTTCGTGCCTTTGTTCTTGTTCTTACAACACCCTGTCATCTTCATTGCCTTCTGCCCAGACCTAGAAGCTGAGGTACACCTTTTTGCAGTTCGACCCACCTCCAGTGCAGAAGGCAGAGCTTCTGTCCAGCGTGATGAAGGCACCTTGTTGGTGTTCTGTCCTTGTGCAGGAGATCCCTGCCGAGGGAGTGAAGCGCACTCCGGACTACTTCCTTTGATTCTGAGCACAGCCTGCAGATCAGAAGGACTGAGACAGTTGGGAAAAGAGAGTGCCGCGCAGCATGATTGACACGCGGCATGTGCCTTTTAGTCAGTAGCTTCAGACCGTAATTACAGTAGAGGGTTTCCATGGATTCGGTTCGCTAAGCTGCATCACTGTGAGCTTTCCGTCAATTCCATGAATCCAGCGACGAGGTCACAACGCAAGGCTTTGTCGACTTGGGCAAGCTTGCAGCCTTCCTACAGCAGGACATGAGGGGTACACGGTTTGGTGGACACTCAGTCGTGGCCGATCAAAGGAGCCAGCTGTGCCACCACCGCCTGGGGGTGGCGTGCCCTTCGAGTTCAAAGGAGGAGTTTGCAAGAAGTTCCTTCTGTCTGCAATCTTCCTGTCCGTAAAGACGCAGGAGGCTTGGAGTTTCGAGATGTCCACTACGCGTATGCTCACAACACCGTCCTTGCAGGGGCTTCCCTGGTACTTGTGGCAAGTCTTGTGCAGCCCGCCCCAGATGCCCCAACGAGGAACAACTGGCTTTAAAACTTGCAAACGGCCAGAGCAGCGGCTGCACACGTGTCCTGCCTTCCGCTTCTTTGCACTGGTACGGCTCCATGGGCTAAGGGAAAAGGTGGTAGTAGTAGTAGTAGTAGTAGTAGTAGTAGTAGTAGTAGTAGTAGTAGTAGTAGTAGTAGTAGTGGTAGTAGTGGTAGTAGTAGTAGCCGCCACAAGTGCTCAAGCGGCCGCGCTGAATGAGAGGTTTCGAACAGGCTTGGGGCGCAACTGCTGTGCTAGAGGCTCCAACCGGGCCCTTTTCTGAACAGTAAAGGTTTGTGCCTCCTTCTACGCCATGGCCCTCTCCCTTTTCTCACAGGAGCTGCTTTGAGCCGCCAGGTCCCAATTCCTGGGCCCAGACTCTGTTTAAAACATTGCAACACTGGGTAGGCGGTAGGGTTTCCACCTCCGCGCGGTGGAGGGAGTCATTAGGCTTCTGTCTCTTGACGAAAGTAGCGGATGGCGCAATTGCCAGTGCACTCACAAAACTTTGCATCTCTTCGTAAGAATTCGTTCAAGACAGCATGTAGAAGGACGGTCCGTAGCGACGGGCCCGTACCGTATCGAGGGCAGGTTCTGACACCTACCCTGGTTGATCGTCTGGGGGTGCGCCCCCCACCCACTCGAAGAGAGCTTCAGTCACAGACTGCTGACTCCCCTGCATATGGCACAGCCTCCCGCAGGGCAGGAAGGTTGGAAAGATCCATTCGAGTTCTTTCGTGGAACGCGGGCCACCTAGGCCAACAGCAATGGGGCGAACTCAAAACGTGGCTAGCAGCTGAAGCCTCTCATCACTGCGACATCCTCATATTGCAGGAAACGCACTGGACTGAGACCAGTGAATTCAGCGTTTCTGGGTGGTACTGTATCTCCTCAGCCTCGGAGTCTACCAAACCCAACACCCGACCTAAACAAGCAGCGAAGCGAAACACTCGGCAAGAACCGCGAGCTCCATCCACAACTCGCGCTGATGGAGTCATGATCCTATTCTCTCCCAAGTTCGTCCCCAAAAGCTTACGCTGGAAGGAGTGGAGCCCGGGTAGAGTCTTAGAAGCTCGTGCGGACATTGCAGGTACTCGGCTGGTTGTCGTCGCGGTGTACCAACACGCTTGGTCTTCTGCCAAGACCATCCAGTCCAACAAGGACGACCGTGCTAAGGTACTATCTGTCATGTCCAAGGTGATCAAGCAGGTGCCTAAGAGGGACTCCCTTATTGTAGCAGGCGATTTTAACACCTCCCTGCGTCCGAGCTCTCCATTGGTGGGAACGCACGTGAAGCCACCCACTGAGGACCGCCCTGACGAATCAAACTTGTTTAATCTGCTGCTCAGGCTGCGTTTGGTTGCCCTTAACACCTGGCAATGTGACCATATAGCTACCTTCTCACAAGGAGGCGTGGAGTCGCAAATTGACTTCATTCTAACCAAAGAATCTACGGCGGGGGGCAAAGCCAAACGGTCAGCCCCTTGGGTGGACTGTCCATTGGGCAGCTGGAAGAAAGGAGGGCATTACCCACTCAAAGCTGACGTGCCCCTCCAACACCACTGGCTGCTCCCATCCCACAAGCCCAGCACGCGCCGGTATGATTCACTAGCTCTACAGGCCTCAGTCAGGGAGGAGGACGATACGGCCAAGGCCCTGCACAACTGGATCGCTTCCAGAATCGACACCTGCCAGGACCCCACGGCATGGAATGCGTTGCTTTTGGAAGGTGCAGAACGCTTTTTCCCAAAAATTCCCAAAAGAAGACCGATCCCGCTGGAATCGGAAACCCGTCGAATGTGGCGGGCCCGCACCCATGACAGGGCTGCGAATACCACTCCCTCAGCACAGCTGATCGAGTCACCTAAAGCAATGGCACAGCCTCCTAATCAGAACACGCCACGTCCGCCGGAAACCGAAGCTGAGCTGGCACAAGTGGCACACCGCCAGGCTGTGAAACAAGCAAAGAAAGATCGAATTGCGAGTTTCATATCGGAAGTGGACGCGTGTCTAGCTGAAGGTGATCAACATATCTCCTTCCAGACCCTCAAAAAGCTGCAGCCTTGGCAGCCTGCGCGCAGAGCTCAGCTAAAGGACAACACAGGACATCTACTAGGTCCAGCGCAGGAACTAGCAGCCCTCAGGGACTATGCCAATCAGGTATTTGCGGCCCACCCTCCGTTACGGACAATGCATGGAGCTTTCCCAGCTTTAGAGCCGCCCAAACTAGCAGCTCACATACATTCCATCAAGCCGAATAAAGCTGTTCCTGACGGAGCGGCACCAGCGACTGTATGGAGGCTGTGTAGCGATCTCGTTGCACCGGTCCTCTCCGAACACGTAGCATCCAAGCAGGCCGCGGACAGTCTAGAATCCGACCTCGTAGACGCAGATCTCTGCTTAATACCCAAGCCGGGCAAGCCCTCTGACAAACCCGCAAACCTGAGACCCCTGGGCATCCTTAGGCCTGACGCTAAGGGGCTGGCGGGAGCGGCCAGAGAAGCGCTTCAACCACTGACACTCTCGTTCCTCAAGCACATGCTACAGTTCGCTTATCTACCAGGTCGGGGGCTGTCAGACGCGCTAGAACGCGTGGTGCATCACTTGCGAGAGGCTCGATCCCTGTTAGAACAGGCTCACCCCACGAGACATGCCCTGCAACACGGCACACAGGCCCCGGCCTTAGTCGGCGGCCTCACCTTTGCTCTTGACCTCAGCCAAGCGTTTGACACTGTCTCTCGCCAAGAGATCATCGACCTTCTTCAGAGAGAAGGGGCCGATCAGGACACAGTCCATCTAGTTCAGGCTCTACATGATGGGTCTCGTTACGTCCTTCACGCGCAGGGAGACTCCACCTCTGTTGAAACCACAGCAGGCATTAAACAAGGATGTAAGCTCGCCCCCACACTCTTCTCGTTCCTTACAGGTGACCTTTTCCGCTCTTTGGTTGACCTTTTCGGTGCTGAGCAGGTCTTGAAATTCCTGACAGGATATGCCGATGATCTCACGCTCCATCGGACTATCCGCTCTGACAAGGACCTCAGGGCCATTCATGCGCTTATCGCAGCGCTACTTGAGGAGGTCCGCAAACACCGCCTACGCGTCAACATCAGCAAGTGCGTCATCTTAGTGAAGTTAGCGGGTAGAGAATCCCAAAACGTGATGAACAAACACGGCTGCTGGATCACCAACTCCAAGGGCGAGCAGGTTCGCGGATGGCGCATAGGGCCCAACAAATCGTTCCCCGCCTTCCAGTGGGTCTCCTGTAGCAAGTACCTGGGGGTTATGATCTCCTACAACCACTTCGAGCTGCAATCCTTACATTACCGCATAGGGGAAGCCAAGCAAAAGCTGCATCAAGTCCGCCAGTTTGTCTACAATCGCCGGCACGCGAGCACCATGTCGAGACTTAAGGTTTGGCAAAGCACAGTCCTGAGCACACTGACGACAGGCCTCTCAGACGTCGGACTCAGCGAGGAGTCGGCCAAGCAGCTACGCAGTTGGCATGCTTACAAGGTGCGATCAGTGCTGAACTTACCAGCACACACCAGCCGCATCACCACTAAGGATCTCTTCCAGCTTTATAGCATTCAGGACCCAGTTCAAGCGATGCAGGTCAAGCTCAGGAAGCGACTCCGCAAACTTGAGCGACGTGCAGCCAGAAGCCCAGATATCACAACCGATCCTTCTGTCTTGCAAGTCATCCGGGACAAGCTGCATTTCATGTCACAACTCCCTGAAACAGTTGAGCACCCTGTAGCCCTACATGCATGCACACTCTGCGATGCCTCCTTCGAGACAGCAAACGGGTTACACTTACACACGTCGAGAGTGCATCCAGCCAGCATTGACCGATTTGTGCCATCAAGCTTCGATCGACAACTCCACGCGGTGGATGGGATGCCGCAATGTGCTGCTTGCATGCGCAAATTTCATCAATGGAAAGGTCTTCGTGACCACTTGTTGTCAGGAGCATGTCCGGAGCCCCAGAAGCTTCGAACTCTGAACGTGACTGACAAACACTCAAGTCACCCTGAGGTAAGGACCCTGTCCCAGCTGCGACAGGACATCGCCCAACTCCCACAACATCGAATAGCGGTGATCTCAAAGACACCGGAGGCCCGGGTCCTGATCCATAGGTGCCTCACGTGTGACTTCTGGACTTTCGATCACACTAAAGTCAAGTCACACTTCCGTCAGGCGCATCCTAAGGACTGGTCAAGGCTGCACAAGCGCGCAGTCTCAATATGTCAGGGTTTCTCGCCTCACCTTGCCAAGGGACACCCGTGTTCATTCTGCGGTTACAAGGTCTATGATCGTCGACTGCACCCGGAACAATGCCCCGTACTTTATCAGGTGAGCACACAGTGGCTGCGAGGGCAACCGGAGGCAGAGGAAGCCGTTACTGCTCCCCCCTCCAAGCCCCAAGAACGGTCACTGACCCACTTCTTTAAGTCACGGTCGAATGGCACAGCCTCCAATCAGTCGAGCACAGCTCGTCAAACCCCGGCAGACAAGCAGGCGTCTGATCCGCAGCCCTCAGGACAAGCGGAAATTAGACCCGAAGGAGTGCACAAACGCGCTCTGACTAACACGTCCAACTCGTGTTATGCCAATGCCCTATTCCAGGCTCTGCATCAGATCTCGAGCTTTGGGTACGACCTAGGTGCTTTCCAGTCCGTCCTTTCCCATCTAGGCGACGAGCGAGCCCCCAGATTACTGAACCTGTTCGGCTTGTTTGAATTTCGCCATGCAATCTCAGGCTGGCGACTTGACGGCAGACAGCATGATGTCTCAGAGCTGCTTCTGCATATGCAGTCCAAGCCTTTTGGCTCCCTTCAACAAACCCAGTGGCAGGGTCGTACAGATGGCGAGGTTGAGGATTCAGATGTGGGAGTCAGCCCACTCCTTCTTCCCCTCCCGCCTGGCCCTCTGTCACTCTC